CCGTCTTACACATCTTGAACTGTGAGTGAGAGAAGCCGCTCTCCTGTTAATGTTGCCTTGATAGGGGACAGATCAGTGTCTGCTGTCTCCTAAGCAGGAAAATGAGGATTCGAATAAGATGCCGTTGCTCACCTTTCCCGGGAGGATTTTCCTCTGGAGAGCTCAGGCAGCCGGCAGGCTGGAACAGTGTCCCCGCCCCCAGCCAGAGCTGACTGCACTCTGGCTCTTGGATTTGGCCCCCAGCACCTCCAGCACCCTCTTCACTGGCAGGCCCCCTGCATTGGGCTGTCCCTTCCTTGTCACCCACTGAGGGCCAGGCTGCCTCAGATCCTGTCTGGTGCCCAGGGACCCGTGGGCCCACCGCTCTCCCCCTACCCCGGAGTCCCCCCCCCAACCTCCCCAACCGTACCCCCAGCAGTGAAGATGATGTCAGTGATGCAGACTAGCCATGCTGCTGGCCCAAGTTCACTGCCGGACCCTCAGAGGGGCCTTACACTTAGTCTGTTCTGCCTGGAGCCCGTTGTCCACCTCTCTTGAGGGCCGTCCTGTCCTGTGTTCGGTCCTGTGTTCAGGGCCTCGGGGCACATCCCTCCTCCCATTTGCGACCCAACTTACCAGGTGGTGCGGGCCCATACCATGTGGCTGTCCCCGGTCTAGACATCCCCTTGTGGCAGCCAGAGGGGTCTGCCCCCCACTCAGCCCAGGACTACCAGCACCATCTTTTGCTCTGAGGCACAGCCTGCAGGCCCTGGTCCCATCTCCCGCTTCTGGGATGCCATTCCTCACCCCCACACTGGGCCTTCCTCCGCTCCATCCCTCCTGTTCGTTACTTTCCCTGCCCCCTCATGAGTCCGTGCACACTGATCCTTTGGCCCCAGTGCCCTTCCAGCCGTGCTTGCCTGGCAAACTTGGCCTTTGCTCACCCCTCCCTGCCCAGCACCGCTTCCCTGGCCCGGACCCCTCTGTTCTTCCCAGCACACCCCGCTGGTCTGTACTGCTGCCCAGCACTTGCCCCTTCACCCCAGGGCGCACCCTGCGGGCCCAGCTGACTCTGTGCGTGCCATCATCACCCTCAGTGACTCAGGCCTGCACAGGGGTTGCTCGGTGAGGATGGGTGAGTGAAGAGATTCTGGGGCAAGGGTCTGCCAACTTTCTTAACAGTAAATACCAGGTTTTGTGGATCATAGGGTCTTTGTCACAACTGTGCAACCTGCCATTCTAGCCAGAAAGCAGCCATAGACGATACCTAAACGGATGGGCACGATGATAAAACCTTATTTACAAAAGTAGGCACAAGCCGAATGTGCCAAGCTTCAGTCTAGAGAAACAACAGAATACGTTCAGTGGCAAACAGGAATGTTTCCAAGAACACCTTTCTCATGATAAGGGCCATGGCTTCCTGGAAATTGCTGGTAACAGCAGCAGAAGTTGGTTCAGAAACAAGCCCCCAGGTGATCCTCTGACAGGTGTGACTTTGAAGATGAACTTCTGGGTCTCCTGTGACCTTGCCCTTGAGGCTCCCTCCATGGCTTGCAGGCAAAGGCTGTCATGTTTGAAGTAGATGGTGTTGGGCAAGGGGTGACAGTGTCCAGGCATGGGGTCTGAATTCTGCTTCCTGTCGCCATGGTTCAGGGAGAGAGAGATGTCGTATTTAATTGAACTCCATGTTGTGAGGGGCAGGGCATCCGGCAGTGACCAGGGTGCGTTCAGTTCCATAGCGTGTTTGGGAACTGAGCACTGAGGCTGAGAGACGCCGCACCCCAGTGAAAGAAAGCATCGAAAATTCAAGTGTCCGGGGAGTTGCTCATCTAGTATCTATGAAAAGGTTATTGTTGTTATGTCCCTTTTGTCCATATAACGTTGCCTTTTTATAACTTAAAATTGTGACTTTTGTGAGAATTCCAAACCTTAGGGCTCAGTCAGGTGAGAGACTGCTTTATGGGGCTCGGGGGCATCTGAGGCCTGGGAACTGCCTGAGGGTGGTCTGATGTTGTGAGGGGGCTACTAGGGGACCCTGGGGGTTATCCCTGCCCACTGTTGCTGCTCATTCCATCTGGAGCCACCTGGCCAGGTGGCCTGGACAGAAGGTAGCTGCTGGTGGGTAAGAGCAGAGATCCACAAGTTCTTCCTCGGGCTGCTTGAGTTGGGCCTTGGTTGAGCCATGCGGGGGCATGGTGGGGGCAGGGGGCACACACAAACAGGCCTTCTGGGGTTATAAGGCCAGTAGCCCTCAGGCAAATGGGGAAGTATAAAGCCAGGCCTCACTGTATGTGTGCCTGATGGGGACAGAGCAGAGGTGCAGCTCTCAGGGCCTTAGCCCAAACTCTGAAGCCAGGCCACCGAAGTTCACAGCCCTGGTTTGTTATTTATAAGCTGTGGGACTTGAGGCAGGTTGCCTAATATCACTGTGTCTTGATTTCCTCGCCTGAAAATGGGGATGATAAAGGCTCCTACTCTGAAGGATTGTTGAAGAAGAAACTTTTCCATGAAAATGACACCCCCTGCTTTATAAAAAGAGAATTAAGGAAAATGTGCAGAGCAGAGACTGCCGGACAACGTTCTAATGTACGAATAGCCCAAAATCGTCCTCCTCTCCCTGTCCCGTCCTTCCGGTGCAAACGGGTTGGGTGGGATCAAATGTGAGCGCGAAGGACCTGGCGGACTTCAGCCCTGGATGGTGGCTGCCACTCAGCATCTTGGCAGAGTATGCCAGGGGCGTGGGGGAGATGGGAAGTACAGACCAAACACAGAGGTGATGACTCTTCCAGAGTCTTTCTCCTCTGGAAAAGAAATGGGAAAATGGCAGGGAAAAGAAGGGGCTGCAGATTTGAGGACTAGTGGATTTCAAGCCTTTCTGTCTACAACATGCCATGCAGCACTCCCTCAAAACTCCCAAAGGAAGGGCCCACAACCAGGCTGGCACCCTCCTTTCAGGGGGCTGGATTTGAAAGACGTGTGTGCCTTTGTGTTTAAAGAAATTTAATATCGACAAATGACATATTTCCACCGAGCTGAAGTATGGCCCCACCATGGGACTAAGTGGAGGCCCTTGAAATGCGTGGCTCCCCAGGTATTGACATTGGCTCAGCACCTACTGCCTCCACACTTGAGAATTCGGTCCCTGCGAAAAGTTAAAAGGGGTGGGGAGGGGGTGGGCAGAGAGGAAAAGCAGGCTGACTCCCCCACTGTGACCTGGAGTCCGGGGCCATCGGAAAAAGTCTGGATGAGATATGATTTTGGAGCTTGGCTCAGCGCAAGTTTCACAGCAGCCAGTGGAAACTTCCAGGAATGCTGCTCTGGGCCAGCCAGGGGCTGTTTCCGCCACCACTTTTACGAGGTACAGACCCCTCCACAGCTTCTGGCCAGCTCAGGGGTGTGTGTGTGGCTATCTCTTTCAGCCCAGCTCTGCCTCTCAGGTTGCAGTGCACCTTTTCAGGCTCAGGCCTGGACTCCAGGGTTCAGAGCCCCTTCAGCCCAGGCCAGCTCATTTGGAAAGGGCCAGCCGCCAGGAGGAGCAGCCTCCATGAGCAGCTGACATCCGTGCGGGATGCTGTGAGAATTTATAGCAGCCTGAGAGGGGAAACTCCCTCCCAAAATGTTTCAATGTTTTATTAAATGTATGAAAGGAAAGTTTCCTTTTCACTGGACCAAGGCCCAGAACCTCCTTGGAGCCTCAGGGAAGGTGGCAAAACCCCTTGGGAAAGCCCACAGACAAATGGGGGCTGAGCACTTAGGCTGAGAGACTTTCTAAAATTAATAGAAAGTATTGTTTCTTAATCTGACCCCTTTCTGCTGGCTGTAGGCTGCACAGCACAGAGACCAAGCCTGCCTCGTTCATAGCGGACTCGCCCAGTGCCTGGTGCAGGCCCGGCGTGCACAGGCCCTCACCCAGCCCTCAATAAGGAGGTGAAGGAGAGCTCTGCCGTTCTGGCCAGCATGGGTCAGGCTGGGCAAGGACCGGGGTTGGCTCTCTGACTGGTGGGCAGGCCCTGGGCGGGAGTCCCCTGGTGGGCAGGGGGGCAGCTGCTCTCTGGGGAGCACACTCCCAGGTAGTGCTGCCCCTCTGCCAGGACTCTGTCCAAAGCCAGAGAAGGTGGGCAGGTTTTTTGCAGCCTTGTCTAGCAGCCATGTCTGCAAGACAGCCCTGGCCTGTGAGGCACATGCAGCCCCAGCAGCTGGGGGCATCTGGCAGGCCAGACAGGCAGGTCCACAGGCTGGCATGCTGGGTGTGCAGGAGAGGCCAGGGAGCTAGGGTTCAGCCTCTGGAAACCAGCATGATGACAAGCGTTGCCAATGTGGGTCAAGCTAAAAAGGGCTGGGCACCATCCTGAGTCACCTCATAGTCTCCAAGACTCCCATGAGCTTGGCACTGTCCTTCCATTACGGAGGAGCAAAGGGGCTCAGAGATGGAGTTAGGGCCTAACTCCCTGATGGCGAATTTCCTGTAATTCCTGTGCTCTGATGTGTCTGGGCAGTGGTCCTCACTGGACTTGGACAGGCAGAGGCCCTCCTAGGCTCAGGGTTGCTCAGTCACTCACCCCCCAGCCCGGGAAGCCCTTCCTAGTGTAGAGGTGAAAGGCCCGAGGCATGGGCAGGACCCAGGTGGGGTGCCTTCATTTCCGGGTAGAGTTTTCTTACCTTTGGAATGGAGATGGATGATGGTCCGTTGATTGTGGACAGAGCCTAGTCCAGACAATAGAGTGGTTCTGCTCCAGACTCCCAATCTAAATGCCAGACTACTAGGGAATCCTGACCCTTGATTGTCTTGGGGAATGCCCAAGGGCTATGGGACCTGCTGCCTACCTTCCTTCACTGTGTCCTGCCCTCACCCACAGACATCAGAGAGCAGCCATCCAGAGCCAGGAGGGGACATGAAGGTGAGAACTGTCCCCAGGCAGGACAGCGGGCTGAGCAGCTGAGCAGAACTGGCTGAGGGGATTCCCCAGGGCAGCCCCAGAGCCCCTCCATCCTCAGAAGACTGACCACCATTTATTTTGCAGACAGTCTCCATCCTAGAGCAACGGCTGACACTGACAGAAGACAAGCTGAAGCAGTGTCTGGAGAACCAGCAGTTAATCATGCAGAGAACAACACCATGATCAGGGGAGCAAGAATCAAGGGCTCGGTCGATTTTGGGGGGTGGCAGGCCAGGGATTTGTACTATGGGACTTGGGTAAATAAACGAAGGGGATTTGGCTCTGTGGGAATCCCATCTATCCCTGAGCCCCAGAGGTTATGCCCTTCTCTCCTCTGCCTGCCCTCTGCACCTGGAGGCTCTCCTGGCAGTGGAAGGCCCCCATAGGCAGGGCCTGCACTTGCAGGATGGACTATGTTTGGTTTAATGTGAAGGAGTCACTTGAAAACGTTTGCTACCTTAGAGTCCTGACATGCCCTGAGATCGCGGCTCCCGGCCAGAAGCGGTAACCCCAAGCCCCCTTACGGAGGTTTGTCCCCCTTTCTGCCATATGATTGGCTCTTCCCACCCACAACAGCTTAGTAGTGGCCTGCCCATGGGATGGGTGAGCCAGGAGTTTTCTCCAAATCTGACAAAAGGCCCAGCATGGGCCCATCTGAGTCAGGTTTACCCAGTAACAAGCACTCAGGGAGGTGGTGGCTTTGCAGTGGCCTTGACTTCTGCTCCACACCTGTTCACTGGGGCTGGTGGCTTCCTCCTCTGTATGCATGAGGGTGAAGGAATCTGAAATTAAAATGGATTTATGGAGCTTGTCATAAAAGTGGCTTGTTCTGAGTGAAACCTTATTAGCTCCCCCATCCTCATTAGCTCCCTTATGCCATAAGGGGAGAATGAAAGCAGTGGCTTTGGGAGGGTCCCTGCCAGGTCACCTCTGGAGCTTGGGACACTTGTCTGCATCTGCTCAGGGAAGCGGGAGAGCAAGAACAGCTGGAGCCCCTGCAGAGCACCCAACCCCCTCTGGCTGGCCCCAGCTGGCTTCATCAGTTGGGTCCTGGAGGACTCTGGCACCTGCATTTCCATTTACTCATGAGGGTTCCCACAGCTCCTTCCCATGCACCCGCACAGGGAGAGCCAGGCCAGTGTTTTCCACATGTCTAGGTTGTGTCCTTCGGCATTTGGCTTCTTGGGTCCCAGCCAGCCAGAGATATTTATGCCTCTACACACCTGCCCTGCTCTGGGGGGCCCAGGGGCAGTGTCAGTACCACACAGCTAATGAGGCTCCCAGCCTCCGCGGCTTCCAGGTGGGAGCAGAGCCGGAACGCCTCGGAGCTGGATGAACGGCGGAACGGGGAAGCTGCCTCCTGCAGCGGGCTGGGGAGGAAGCCGCCGGCCAGGCCCCGGCTTCAGATTCTGCCAGTGGCCGGCCATGTAGCCTCAACATGTTGCCACAACGTCTCTGAGCCTCAGGTTCTTGTTTAGGCGGCAGTGGTCGGCACCCCTCGGGGTGGTTATGACACAAGCCATGAGTGGGGAAGAGGCTCTTGCTTGCTCGGGCTCTTCCGGGGGTTCCTGGGGACCTGCTGAGGCCTCCTATGTGGCCCTGTGTGTATAGAGGAGCTGGGCAGGCCTGCTGGTCTGAATTGGGAAAGGTGCTCAGATGCCCCAGGAGGTCATGCCCCCCCCCCCATAAAGGCTCTTAGGGCGTCTGAGCAACCCTAAGTGAGCCTGCTCAGGGTGCTGCTTGGAAGGCCAGCCTCATCATCCCCTCCCAGGCCAGCTGTCCTGTTGTTGCTTCCAGACCTGATGCTGGAGGTCCCAGTATTGGGGCCCTGGTGACCTGAGCAGCCAGCCCAGGGGGAGGGTCATCTCCAGAGACACGAATGGTTCCCCTGAGGGGGGACAGCAGGCCAGGAACTAGGTCGCCAGGCGTGGTGTGGCAGCTCTTGCCCGGTGCGGCCAGGCCAGGGGTACCATCTTCCTGCCTTCAGTTTTCACCAGGATGGAGTTTTGAATTTCTCTGTGGAGAAGATGTGGATTGAGAGCCTGTTAGGGATTTGGGAAGTAGCCGGGGGCAATGGTGTAGTGTCTGTCCCTGGAAGCCCCTCCCCTAGTTAATCTGCCCGCCCTCGCCGCACCCCTTTTCTTGTGGGATGTATGTTTGCTCTGAGACAACCAACCCTGGGCTCTCCCAGGTGGAGGCAACCATGGGCTGAGAGGCAGGGCCTCCTGAGGGGTTTCCTGCACTCTCACGTACTTGCCCGGAAGGAGCCACCAGCCAGATTCGGAGTTTGGGGGAAGACGGTTCTTGGAGAGCTGCACTTGTCTTTGAAACACCAAGACCCACCTCCTTCCAAGCCTGAGGGTCAGTGTGTGTCACATGCAGGAGGCAGAGCCACGAAGGGGCCAAGTTCTTCCCCAGAGCTCCTTTTCTTGCTCACGTGGGGCCTGACTCAGGGCCTCACTGCTCTGAGGATCTAGGGGCCCAGATTGTCCTGAGAGAAAGGGGACGGGACCCTGGGGCGCTCTGACCCCCCACCCCCACCCCGTGGAGGTGCTACAGGACCCTGAACTGGGCAGCACCGGCTGGTCAGCTGTGGGGGCCCTCATAAGCCAGGGAGGAGTATGGGGCCCGGGTGGGCTTGGGGTGGCTTGGCAGGGTTAGGAGCCATGTGGCAGGGCCTTTCTTGTGGTGGGGTCTCCCTGCCAGCCCTTGCCGGTGGCTCCCCTGTGACAGGGGCTCTTACCAGCCCTCCCACTGGTACTGCCAAGCTCAAAAGCAGCCTTCTGGAAATGCAAATGCCTCTGCTCAGCCACCTTCTTTCCTGATTGTGGATTTTGATAACTGAGCTCCAAAAAAACAAATTGCAGACCTCTCCTCTCTCTCTTCCCCCCCTCCACTCCCCCAGGAAGGTGGGGTGAGGTCAGGGATGTTTGTAGGAAGTGTATCTCAGCGGCAAGTCCCACCGCCCCCTCCTCTCGTGACCTGATTTTCCTCATGTGAACTAAAAGAATAGGTGTCGGTGATGGGTGATTTAAATTGTGACGCCCCCCACCTACCCTTTGCCAGACTCTCAGGGTTCCAGGATGAACCTGTTCTTCTGCCAGAGACACTGAGGGAGGCCGCTCAGGCAAGCTGGACGAGCAAGCCAGAAAGCGGTGGCAGCCGAGTCCTGTTGCCACCGGTGGCAAGCCTGCTCTGCTTTGACTCCTGAGTCTCCGCTCCCCACGAGCTCCTGACAGACCATGTGTCCCCCACACAGAGACTCAGGTGGCACCAGCCAGCCTGACTTGGAAACTGCCGTATTCCCACCCAGCACTGTCCTTGTCCCTCTGCCCCAGGACCCACTGGCCACAGGTGCGTGACTTCTCCGTGCTGGTGGGCTGTGTGCACGCAGGCTGCCTAGCGGGCGGAGCAGTGGGTCCAGTCGGGGGGTCGCTGTGGGAGCCCCGGGGCCCGACCCACTGCCTGAAGCCAGATTTTGGCTCTGTGATCTCCAATGAGTTGCCGCAGTTGTGGAGTGTCCCTCTGTGAGATAATGCCTGTCTGACCAGGCGCAGGAAGCGCTCAGAGCAGTGACTGACACAGAGCGTGGATGTGGTCAATGTGTGACACCGCCGCCGCCGCTGCCGCCACCACCACCCTGGGGCGGTGTCACTTCTGGCAGGTCAGCCGCCTTCCATGGAATTGGTCCGTGTGTTAATGGGCTGATGGTCCTAGGGTCGCTCTGGCCCTGGAATTCTAGGTGGCCAGAGTAATGATCTCTTGACACTGAGCCCCACCATGGGCATCCCCAGTGGTGCAGAGGGATTTGGGCCGGCAGGCAGGGGGACTCAGGGCAGCCCCTCACTGGAGAGGCAAGCATTCTAAGGCCACTTCTGCTGTCCCGAAGGCCGCCACCAGAGCCAGCACCGGCTTGAGGGTGGGTGTTGGTGATTACCCGGAATCCCGGAAACCCAGCCCGCTGAGCAAGCGAGAGCATGGTGAGTCACACTGGCCCTGTTGTCCTGGCTCCCTGTCATTAACCTCATTTTCCTAAATGATTTGCTCAAGATGGGCCCCCGATGATTCCCGCCTTAATTGGTGTGTGGCCATTTAAGGGGGCCAGAAATCCCCCCCCGGGACTTCCCACTGAGTACCCCCAGCTCCACCCCACCCACCCTGGGCTGCTGAGGAGGGACCACCTTGCCAAGGGAGCAGTGGCAGGCTGGTGGTGGCCCAGTGTCCTGGGGTGTCCTTCCACTTCCTGTGGGCACTGGGCCCTGGCACAGGGCCTTGTCCCATTGCCTGATGGGCTCCAGCCCACCCTAGCAGGCAGGCCATGACAACCTAGGCTCACTCACTTGGCCACTCTGGGGAAGTCTTTTAGAGGTTTTGCCCCTGGCTCCCTACCCAGGAGGGCTGAGCTTGTGCTCCAGATAGGACTGGAGCCAGGCCAGAGAGCCTGGGGCGAAGCCATTAGGAAGCTTTAATGCCAGCCCCTCCTGGGGCTGGGAGCTGCCTTGTGCAAACACTCTCCCAAGAACCTATTTATAGAGCAAGGCCAAGGAGTGCTTTCACTTTAGGTGAGGCCATCTTGAGCCCCATCTGCCGGGGAGTGCCTTCAGGCTCCGGGAATGCCACCCCCCCTTACTCCCTCACCCCCCTCCTACCACCTATGAGAAGTCTGAGCACTAGGAGAAGGAACCTGGGCAGGAGAGGAAGTCATGTTCTGAGAAGCTTCCCTTTCTCAACCCCAAGCTTCTCCTTCAGGCACAGTGTGTGTTCCTGCAAGTGGGACTTGGGCACCTTCCATGGGTACCCCAGTAGGCGGAGGCTGGCTTGCAGGAGGCAAGGTCCGTGCATCTCCATTCTCCTCAGCTTCAGAATTGAGACTGCCTTCAGAGCCATGGATGTCCCTGAGCACTGGGGGCCCATGTTTATTCAGTCCATGTTGCTCTCCTGGTCTTGGGCCTGGCGGAGGACACACACATCCCACTGATGCCCTGCCCAGCTGGCCTCTTCCAGACCTTGGTCCTGCTGCGGCCCTCCCCGGGCAGGTCTCTCTAGAACCACCTAGCTCTCCTAGAAGATCTATGATGCCCCACCCTCCCTATGCACTGAGCCCCTTAAACCCTGACCCCACCCAAGACATGTCCCTCCCGCCCACTCCCAGCTCAGCCCCCAGAATCTTCTTCCTATGACAACTGCTCCTGGATTGGCTCCTCCAAAGCCTCTGAAACTTAGAGCCAGAGAAGCAGTGCAATTAGTCCTCCCAGGCCCTCCAGGCAGCGGCTTACATGCGCCAGCTAACTGGAAACAGAAGGTGCT